CAATTTACTACTGGATTTCAGTCATTATTTACGTTTTAATACTTCAGTTCTCTGATTTGCTTGGTAAGATTACAAGTAAGAAGGATCTTGGAGTTGTTGTAGATCAAAAGCTGAATATGAGCCAATAGTGCAATGTGGCTGCAAAAAAAGGGAAATGCTATTTTAGGATGCCTTAACAGAAGTACAGTCGTGCCCCGCTGGACGATTACCCCGTATAACGAAGAATCCGCTTAACATTGAAGTTTTTGCGATTGCAAAACGATGGTTTAAATGGTTTTTTTTCGTTTCACGATGATTAGTTCCCTACTTCGGGAACCGATTTTCGCATTACGACGATCATCAAACAGCTGATCGTCGGGTTTCAAAATGGCCCCTGGCTGAAGAAAATGGCCCCCCGCTGTTTTTAGGACTGATTTTTCGCTTAACAGGCACCAGAAAATGGCCACCGTATGGAGGATCTTCGCTGGACGAGCAGGTATTCAGCCCATTGGAACGCACTGAACGGTTTTCAATGTGTTTCAATGGATTTTTCTATTTCGTTTGACGTTTTCGCTCTACAGCGATTTCGCTGGAACGAATTAACGTCGTCAAGTGAGGCACCATTGTACAGTTTCAAAATCCCATACATACTAAGTCCCTTCTGTTCAGCACTGGTTAGGCCTCATCTAGAATACTGAGTCCAGTTCTGGACATAGCACTTTAAGGATCCAACAAATTGGAGCAAGTTCAGAGGGCAACAAGGATGATCAGGGGCTCGGAAACCGAGCCCTATGAGGGAAGAATGAAAAAACTAGGTATGTTTAGCCTTAAGAGAAGAAGACAGAAGGAAGATAGGATAACACTTTTCAAACATTTGAAAGGCTGTCATACAAAGGAGGGGCAGGATCTGTTCTCGATCACCCCAGAGTGCAGGACAGGCAACGATGGGCTCAAGGAGATTTCATTTGAATATCAGGAAAAACTTCCTGTTAAGAGCAGTACGACAGTGGAACCCGTTACCCCAGGAGCTGGTGACTGCTTCAGCACTGGAGGCATTGAAGAAAAAGATCATCACCTGGCAAGATATGCTTTGTTGGTATTCCTGCATTGAGCAGGGGGTTGGACTTGATGGCCTTATAGGCCCCTTCCAACTTCACTTTTCTATTATTTTTATGAAGGTGGGAGCGTCCGGGCATCCATCCTAGGGTGCCAGATGGGCCTCCAGGAGAGAAGGGAGATTTTGAGAAGAAGGAGCCGAAAGGCCTGGCCCCGAGACCCTGGATCCTGCCCAATTGCGCAGGAAGGCGATCCCCCCCCTTGCACCTGCGGGGCGCATACACCCGCAGCTATAGACTCAGCAGTCCTGGGACAGAACGACCGGGAGCTCTTCCAGAAATCTGGGTTCATGACCCATTTGTCTCCCCTCCTTTTGGGCAGATGTGAGCAAGCGCTACGAGTGTGCGAACTTTGGGGAGCAGGGCATCACGGTGGGTTGCTGGGACCTCTATCGTCACGACATTGACTGCCAGTGGATTGACATCACGGACGTCAAGGCTGGGAACTACATCTTGCAGGTGAGCCACGGGGGGGGGGCGGTTGCTGAGAGGCGGAGGGCCAGAGGCCCCTTCTCCCCTCTGCCCCAGTTTGGTAAGGAGAGAGGAAAGGAAAACACGGTGCATTGCTGGGGACGCCGATTTCCCAGCATGGTCTTTCCTGCTTCTTTATCTCAGCCTCAGGAGGTGCAAAGGGCCATGAAGAGCCTGTGTCATCATCACAATCATCCTCATCACTTGTGCAGTCTCTCTTAAGCAAGGCAGGAGGGGGAGGGGGGTTAAGGGGTATCCAGAAACAGGTGCCCAGCCAGGGAACCCCCGAGAGCAAGAGGAAGAGATTTCTCTTTGCCTCTGAAAATGTCCCCGAGTGCTCAGCAGGACCATCTGTCTGGCAACGTGGTCTTTACAGAAATTCAGGCCTTTTCGGGGAGGGCCTTTTAGCCATCACACCCCAGTGTGTCACCCTCCCTGAATCCTGCTTCTCCAGAGCGAGGACACAGTGGGCATGCGACCCACAGGAAACCACGCTTAGCCAGAACTGCCCCAGCGCCTCGGGGACTCCCCTGGCCATTCATGGGCACTGAAGCGACCAACATGACTTTGACCCAACTCCGGGAGGCAGTGGAAGACAGGAGGGCCTGGCGTGTGCTCTGGTCCATGGGGGTCACGAAGAGTCGGGCACGACTGAAGGACTAAATGACGACGGCAGCAGGCAGCAAACAGTAAAGCTAAACGGTGCCGGCTAGACACACAGGAAATCCAGACTTCACTGGCCAAGGCCTCACCGCCAGGAAAAGCAACAGGAACTGAAACAGAAAGCCAAGGCATGAGCTATGATGTGAGGCCCTTTGCGCCTGAGCCCTTGCGCAGGCCGGGTGGTACCCAGGGACAGACTACTGTAAAGGCCGTCCCTGCCAGACCTCTCGGGCACTTTGGTCTGCCTGCTGGGGCACAGAATTCTAGAAGAGTGAAGTTGGAAGGGGGGCCTGGAAGGCTGGCTGGTCCAATCCCCCCCCCCCCCGCTTGAGACAGGGATCCAAACCCAAGGAGATCTCAGGCGATGGTTCTGGCCCCACGCCCGGTGAAAGGAATGGGTAGAAGCACAGCGGGTGCTCCTGCCACCCTCAGGGAGGGAGGGCCGGCTCATGGGATATGGCAGCTGCCTTAGGGTGGGTGGGCGGTCTTGGGGGGGGCAGAAGCAGAAAGGGTGCAAAGAGGGCAGCCACCACCCAGCTCGGCCCCAGGGTGGTTGGAGCTGGGCTCTTTCTGGCCTCGCTCTTTGGCGTACCTGGCTTTTCTCCCACAGAAGGGCATGGAAAGAAGTGGAAATTTGTGCAACAAAGCAGAGGCCTTGCGGTGGGGGGGGGGAGGAAAAATGAGGAGGTCTTATGGGCTGAAGCCTCGCTGGGGAGAGAAAACACCAAATCGCCTTTCTTTACGTTCTGCACAGGGTGGGGTGGAGGACGTGCAGCCACCGGGGGGGCCTCCGAGGGTGTGTGTGTGTGTGGGGGGGGCCACAGGGCTGTTCCCTCACTCGGTCCCCGATCTCTAGGTGGTGATCAACCCCCGATACGAAGTGGCCGAGAGCGACTTCACCAACAACGCCATGAAGTGCAACTGCAAGTACGACGGCCACCGGATCTGGGTGCACAGCTGCCACATCGGTACTGCCTGGCTGGGTCACGGCCGTGGAGGGAGGGACGCTTGGGCGGGGGCTGCAGAGGCCCCCTCTGGGGTAGGGAGTGGCCTTCACAGCCTCCTTTGTTTTCACAGGTGATGCCCTCAGCGAGGAGGCCAACCGGCGCTTTGAACAATACCCTGGACAGCTCAACAACCAGATTGTGTAGCAGCCCAGCCCAAGCCCAGCCCCCCCCAGCCGACTCCGGCCCACGGGAGCGGCTGCCTGTGGTGGTGACCTGCACACCCGTGGGCAGAAGAGGTGGGTGGGGCTGGTGCCCCACGTCCGAGGCCGAGACGAGAGAGCAGCTCCCCTGCAAAGAGGCCATTTCATTGGGGGGGGGGAAGAGACGGCCACAGACACCCCCCCCCGTGGCTTGCCATCTCACAGCTGCGCTCTTCCTCCTGCCCACAAGGAGGAGGAGGAGCAGCAACAGCTGGCAGGAGACCCAAACCCAGCCTGGCCCCTCTGTGGGTGGGAGGCCGAGGGTCAAGGGAAGGCTGCCCTGGACCACAAGCCCCCCCCCACGCCCCTCTGCCTCTTGCTCTTCCACAACTTCCTCTGGTGCTCAAGCCATGGCTGGGGAAGGACTCAGGACCAAGGGCGAGGCCGCGTCATTCATAAAGTCAAAACTTCCTTTATCCAGACCTGCCGCCCGGCTGTGTTTCTATGAGGTTGGGCTCGGGGTGGGTCTCGGTCCTCAGGCACCCCTCCCACCTTCTCCGGATCATGGCCAGCTGGGCCTGGACAGCTGGGTCAGCCCCATTCTACCCATCCGGGCACCCTGGGTAGCCCATCTTCCCTGCTGCCACCCAGCTGGGGCACCAGGAGGCCCACCTGGCAAGCCACAGCGGGGTCAGTGGGGCTCCAAAATGGGGCGCAGGTGCCAACGTCAGCTCGCCTCAGAGGGCAAGGCTGCCAAGGGGGAGAAGTCAAGCAAAAGGGATGCATTCAGACCCACCGCTCTCCTAGTCCAGCAGAGCCCCGTGAGAAAGGCTACCTGGCCCCATGCTCACCTGAGCACCCAATGCTCCCCCACCTGAGCCCGGATTTCTTCCACGGCAGGCAGTGAAGGAGAGGCCTCTCTGGGCAGCCAGCAGTGGGGGAGATCCCTCTGCGTCCCCTATCTGCAGCCAACCTCTCAAAACGAACAGGCCCCCAAAGCGACCACCTGCTCCCTTGCTGGCTTTAAGGGGCTGAGCTGAGAGCTGGCCAAGCACTCCTCCCAGGGACTGCAAGCGGGTGTGGGTGTGTCTCAGAGGTGTTTTGGGGGGAGGGGAGAGGCACATGACAACATGTCCTGTGGGGGACAAGCCAGCGGATCCGGCCCAGAGTAACTGGCCTTGAAGCTGACTCAGAAGAGAGGGAGCAAATACAGGCTCCCCAGGCAGACGGGCTGGTGAGGCAGAGGGACAGCTGTGTTGGGGAGATGCTGCCATTGCACTCCCCACCCCCACCCCGCCACCACCCGCTTGGCCAAGCACCGATCACCCTCCCTCCCTGGAGAAAGGTGACATCAAGCAGCAGCTCACTAAGCACCATCTCTCGACTGGGGCACCCAGGGATCTCTCTCTCTGATGCCGCCTGTCGCTGGCCACCTTCTGCGCATACAGCTTGTAGGTCCAGTTGTTGGGGGAAAAGAGACAAAGCATTAAGGGAGATCCCTGTCACCCCACTCACCACCACCCCCGCAAAAGCCACCATGCCCAACAGAAGGCTGCCTGGTTTTGCAGCTTGGAGAACGAACTGCCACAGCCCAGCAGTAGAAGCAAGACACAAGGACCTCAGCATCTGGAGTCTGGATTTATTTTAGCAGCCACTGAGGAAAGAGAGAGAAAAGCCCAGGTCTTCTGCCACCTTTCCTGGGCGTGCTGTGAAGGCATGGCCGTCTTGGGACCACTGGATTCGTGGCAGAAGCAGCCACAGCCCTTCCTGGCTCTGCGCTCTCTGGATGGGCCGGATATTCCCCCCCTCCAAATCCCTGGCAAACGTAGGCACTTGCTGCTATTGTTGTCGTCTTGGGTTACCCCTACCCACCCAGGGCTCGAGAGGGGACACAGCTGCACCTTGGTTTCTGCACCAGTCTTTGTCAGGGAGGTCCAGGCCATGTGGTGCTGGGGAGGGGAGGCTGGGAACACAGTGTCCTGTGACTCCGTCAGGTCTGGAGCAGTTGGGCGCCAAAGAAAAAAGACACACTTGTGCCAGTCTTAGGTGTGCATCTTCCATGCTACTCTGTCTTAGAAGATACAAATCCAGCCAGCGAGGGAAACAGGAGAGAGCAGAGGGCCTCAGGCAACCATTTTAAAGATGAGAAACAGGCCCTTCCTCTGATGCAGGTGGTTACTGAGACAGGCACCTGCCTCCCCTTTCCAGCAAGAGAAAAGGCGGGCGGCCACCTGCTCTGCTCCCAAGGCACCGGGTCTGTTTCCAGGCGCAGGGGGAGGCGGCTGCAGCTTCAGTAGACGCAGCGGTTACTCGGTGACCTCAGGGGTGATGGTCAGCAGCAATGCCTCGTAACTACGGCGCACCAGCAGGGTGAGGTGGGCCTGGCTGCGCACCGCTTCGTAGACATCCTCTGCCCGCTTGGCCGCCTGGCCATTGATCTCCACCACTACATCGCCCGCCTTGAGTCCGGCCCTGGAGAGAGAGCGGCACAAGGTGGAAGAGAACGGAGAAAGAACGAGGCTGACCCATTCACTCGGGGGGTGGGGTGGCACATGGAAGTAGAGATCTGGTGCTACCCGCGAGCCCCTCCCTTCACATCCGATTGTGCTCCAACTTACTGGTGGGCCGGGGAGCCAATGATCACTTTGTGGATAAGGACCCCGTGGGTCACATCGGGAAAGGCCGGGTCCCTTATCTTCAGCTCAGAAAGGATGCTGCAGGGTAAAAGGGGTGCGTGTGTCATAAGAACAGCCTCTTTGAGCTTTCGTTGATCCGGTATTCCCACCGCCACCTGTGTTCCTTCAGCTGCCCAACCATCCTTTTTTCTGTTTGCAAAGCCTTGGCAGCAGAGAACCTGCAGTGGCCAAAAGGAAGCCGCCTCGCCTCCAGACAGCACAGCAAGCCAAACCTGCAGTGGCCAAAAGGAAGCCGCCTTGCCTCCAGACAGCACAGCAAGCCAGGGGAACGGCTCCCCACTGGCACCCGGAGGCCACGGGCTCCTGACCCCACCCCAGCCTCAGCGCGGGCCTCGACTGGGCCTCCTGCTCTGGCAGGGCCACAGCCTGGCACCTTCTCCTCGCCTACGGATCTCGGCATCGCAGGGCCAGCCGCCTAAGGGCTTGGTCCCTGGGTCTGAACCTTGGTCCTGCACCCTATGCTCCAGATGTTGTGTTACCTGGAGCTGGAGGGAGGGCAGCTCTGCCGGCCTGACTCACTGCACAGCCTGATCCCAGCCTGCCTTGCGGGGAAGATGGCACGCACACCCGCAGCTTCTGAGTCCCAGACTGCCAGCCACAGAGGATTTGGGGTGGGGGGTGGGGAGACCCACACAACAGCGAGAAGACTGAGGCCAGGAGCCCCTACCTGGGGGTTAGGGTCAGCATCATCACCCCAATGTAGCGCCTCTTTCCTTCCGTGCTGCCAAACCAAGAATCTGCGACAGGAGAAACAGTCATTGCCAGAGATTGATGATTGACTGATTGATTGACTGATTGATTGATTTAATTTATATGCCGCCCACTCTACCCAGAGATCTCTGGGCGGCTTACAACAATTAAAATTCAATTAAGATACAATAAAAGATAAAATGATTAAAATACAATTAATATTGCCATCAGGACCCACAGTTGATGTTATTTCAATTAAAAGCCTTCTGGAACAGATGTACCTCAAAGGACTCAAGCCCTCTGCCCCGGAACCCCAACACCCAGAAGCCCTCTCAGATTACCCATAGCTCTGCAGCACAAACATCCGAAGAGTCGAGAATGAAGCCCCCGTAGGTCCTGCCTCGGGGAGCAAGAAGCTGGAGGGGAGCCCTTGGGCCCTCCAGCTCCCCAAAGTTTCAACCAGCATGACCCATAGGACGAGGCAATGGGCATGGCAGTCCTCCTACTAAACATCTCAATGGAACTGCCCAGCTACGGGGAAGGGAATTTGAGACTACAGGCAACGCGGCACACCCAGGTTCCAGGCCCAGGCCACATCTGGAGGCCGAGAAGAGCCAGGAGGAAGGAGCCCCACCAACATACCCTTGCGCTTCTCCCCTTGCTCCAAGAAGGCCCGCAGCCGGTCAGAGGGAATGGCAAAGGAGATCCCGGCCGTCACCTTCATGGTATTGACTCCGATCACTTCACCATCCTAGGAAAGAGCCAAGACCCAGCGCAGCCTCCATGATTCACCTTTGGGGAAGGGAGGGAAGATGCTGCCCCCCCCTCCCAGGTTGGGCAAAGCCGCTCCCCATAGCAGTGGGTGGAAAAGCGCATCCTCAGCCCCCCCCCTTTAGCCAGAAGGACCTCCCCTACAGAAAGGCCCCAGAGAAAAGCTTGGGAGGAGGTGAAAGCCCCAGCCGCAGGAGCAGAGCCCAGCAGAGGCCCGGCCAAAAACTCACCAGGTTGACGAGGGGCCCCCCGGAGTTCCCAAACTGCAGAGGCAGAGAACGAGGAGTCATTACCCAGACCCCACGGCTCCCTAGACCCAGAGGGGGCTTCAGGAAGCACCGACTCCTCCCAATCCGGGAAGGCAGTTGGGGGGGGGAGGTGAGGAAGCCCCTCCCTGCTTACATCAATGGCCGCATCTGTCTGGATGTACTCCATGTTGGAAGAGGCCAGGCCCAGCTCCCGGCCGCCCCGCTGGGCTGAGCTGACGATGCCCGAGGTGATGGTGTTCTGCAGAGCGAAGGGGCTGCCCATGGCCACCACAAACTCCCCCTGGCGCACCTCCGAGGAGCGGCCCAAGGGCAGTGTCGGCAGGGGGTGCTGTGGGCACAGGCAGGTAGGCAGAGGGTCAGCACCAGGGTCCAAAGCACCACGTCCTGGGCTGCCCACCCCCTGAAGGAGCACTCGGTTATCTCCTGGGTCCCTATGCGGCCCTCGGGTGACTCTCCAGTCCAGACTCAGGACCCTCTCCCGATAGTAGATCTGGGGCAGGCAGAAGGCCAAAGAGGGAGCCCAGCCAGCACTTCCCAAGCACTAGCGTCCTCAGAACCAGCTGGCCGGCCAGCAGGGCAGGGCTCAGCCGTGCTCAGGGTGGCTCTCGCCCGGCAGGGCCGGCTTCCTCGCTGCAAGGGCACCACCTGGAGAGTCCAACCTACAAGGCACTCTGTCTACAGGGGCATACACCCCCTCCTCCCCGGGCCTTGGCTAGGGGCCTCCCCCTCGGCATCCCCCAACCTCTGACCCGTCCGCTCGCCCCGGGCCCGCCCGTCTGCCGACTGACCTTCGGGCTGATCTTGATGGTGGCAATGTCGGCCACCTGGTCCACATGCCGCACCACCGCGTCGTAGAGCTCCCCGCTGGCCAGCCGCACCCTCACCCGCCTCCGGTTGGCCACGACGTGGGCGTTGGTCACAATCAGCCCATCTGCCGACACCACGAAGCCTGACCCGTTAGAAATTGGCACTTCCCGCCCAGAGAAAGGGTGCCTGGATTTTGGGGGGTGGGGGGGGGAGGAGAGAAGGACAGCTGAGTGAGCAAAGGGCCCAAACACGGAGCACGTATGTTGCTAGACTGCAAGGCCCATCATCCTTCACACCATTTAAGCATAGTTTTGGAACAGCTCGCCATGTTAGTCTGTGCAAGCATATCAAGAAAAATCCACAGAGGCAAAACCAAACAAGACAAAAAAATGAGGCCCCTTAAAGACGAGCCACTATATTTTAAAGTGAGAGTTCGTGGAGATATCAGCTTCATCAAACATAAGGAAACAGAGTGAAATGGGGAATGAAATATCAGCTTCGGACGAAACATGCATTGCATCTTGGGTATCATGTACATTTAAAAAACTAATAAAGTTGCTGCTATTCTGACAGGCTTTCTCAGATTCTAAAACGCCCTGATACAACTGGGGCTTCAATAACTAACTTCCAGCACGTTTCCATTTTCACTTTATTATGCGGCTTTTAACGTAACTTGTCTAGTGCAGCCCGATGGGCGAAATAAAACTCAAACACAAAAACAAATTTGCATGCAGTAACTCGGCTTGTGTTGTTTTAGGGCTCTGACGCCCGGAGAGAGAAGAGAGAGAGGGCGAGCGTGTGTTTGTGTGTGTGCGTGTGCGAAGCTGAAGGCGGCTGGAGAGGGACTTAAAACTCAAGAGGCGGAGAGAGAGAGAGAGAAGGAGAATATCTGGAATCCAAGGACTTCATCACTCGGATCCTTAGAGCTGCATGACGGCTGCGGGTTGCAACCCAAGGCAACCGAGGGGCAGAAGGGAGTCGGGAACACACACACAGCCCCCCCCACGCCCGCCGGCGCGTTCCCGAAATCGATCTCCTCTCTAGACAGGGGGGTGGGGTGGGGGGGCTTGACCCCTGACCTCAGGAAGCCCTCACGGCTCCAGCCTGCAAAGGAGGGGCTTGGGAGCTGCATGACGGCTGCGGGTTGCAACCCAAGGCAACCGAGGGGCAGAAGGGAGTCGGGAACACACACACAGCCCCCCCCACGCCCGCCGGCGCGTTCCCGAAATCGATCTCCTCTCTAGACAGGGGGGTGGGGTGGGGGGGCTTGACCCCTGACCTCAGGAAGCCCTCACGGCTCCAGCCTGCAAAGGAGGGGCTTGGACGGAGCCTCCCCACTGGCTCCAGCAGAAGGGACCGTGGG